GAAGTCTTCCCAGAACCTTCATTCAGTGTTGAGGTAGTGAATCGAAACATAACAACTAATCAACAAGCTCAAAGCACCAGCACAAGAGATAAAAACATCTCAGAAATAGAGGAATCAAAGTGCAAGTACCTTATCAGCGAGCTTCTCAAATTAATCGCCAAAAATCCAGAGTTCATCGACGAAATACTCCAAGCAATCGGCTCAAGTGCCAAAAACACCGCATACAATAATGGATTGTAGACAACAAAGTATCAACGTCCTCTACTGGAATGCTAACGGCCTCACTGACAAAATGTTAGCATTTCTCGACTACCTAAGCAAGCAAAACGTCGATGTTGCTTGCATCTCAGAAACATTCCTAAAACCAAACTCAAAAATTGACTCGCATCCAGACTACGTAATTCATCGATTGGATCGCGTGGATAGACCAAAGGGTGGTGTTGCAATCATCGTCAAAAGAAATCTAAAACATCAGCTTCAACCAAGCTACAACACAAAACTAATCGAATGCATTGGAATCAAAGTCTTCATCAATGACACGGATAGTTGTCACATCCTCTCAGTCTATCTCCCAGGAGGAAGCAAAGGAGGGGAAATAGATCTACATCTGAGAGATGACATCAACAAAATAACAAATCTGAGAGGAAATTACTACATCTGTGGAGACTTCAATGCAAAACATCGAGAATGGAACTGCAACGTTGCAAATAAATCAGGAAATATTCTTCAGGAAATGTCAGGAGAGTTCATGATCTACTTTCCTGACTCGCCAACGTACTACCCAGAAGATCGAAACAAATCAGTGTCAACAATTGACCTGATGCTCTCGAATTCCAACCTCGAAACAACAGAACTTCAATGCACAGAGGCAATGAGTGATCACTGCGCTGTGTATTTCCAAATCAAAACATCAAAAATCGACAGAACTGAAAATACAGTCTACAGATATGACTACAAAAACGCAAACTGGAAAAAGTTCAAAGCACAAATTTCACGCCGCATTGAAGACAACATTGGAGAAAATTCTTGCAATACAACAGATGAGATCGAGAATCACATTAAGATTCTCTCTGAACTCATCATGGAAGCGAGGAACTCAAGTGTAAAAATGAAAAAGATCAAGTTCGAATCAACTAAACTCACACCGGAGATTAAAGATCTAATCAACACAAAAAGGAGTCTTCGTCGAAGATGGCAGAGAAGCAGAGATAATCAACTCAAATCTGAATTGAATTATCTGCAGAGAGTCATCAATGAGAAAATTAAAGAACTCAAAAACAAAAACTGGAATAAGCGTCTCTCAGAGATTCAACCGTCAAACCAAACAGTTTGGAGAATAACAAAATTTTGCAAAAAAGGTTCAAAAACAATGCCTCCATTGACAAATCTGGGTAAAACGTTCATCACCAACAAAGAAAAAGCCAGCGCACTCAGCGAGTATTTTCGTGAAGCTCACGAAAATCCTTTGGAACAAAACGATCCACAACATACACAGGAAGTAAACAACACAGTCAAAGAAGCATTGGAACAAGACAATGATGAGAATCCAGAACTAACAGATGTAAACGAAATCGTGAGCATCATAAGAAATCTGAAAAATCCAAAAGCTCCGGGACTAGATGAAGTCAACAACATACTCATCAAAAATCTTCCTGAAAAAGGTTTCGAATACTTGAAATTCATCATCAATTCGTGTCTGAAACTCAACCACTTCCCCAAAGTTTGGAAACATGCAAAAGTGATTCCTATTCCAAAACCTGGAAAACCAGCAAATGAGCTAAGCAGCTACAGGCCAATAAGTCTACTCAGCTCAATAAGCAAAATACTGGAGAGAGTATTACTGAATAGAATCAACGATCATCTTGAGGATAACAACATCATCCCAAACCAGCAGTGCGGCTTCCGGACTGGAAGATCAACATCTCACCAGCTCATCAAAGTGATCAAATCAGCAAAAGAAAACTTAAACAACAAAAAGTCAACAGGCATGATCTTCCTGGATGTAGAAAAAGCATTTGACAGAGTCTGGCATAACGGACTCTTGTACAAAATGCTCAAACTGAGATTTCCACTGCCACTTATAAAAACTGTAAGATCTTTCCTCAGTGAAAGATCTTTTGCAGTTTTTATTAAAGGTCAGTTCTCAGAAATCAAGGTAATCAAATTCGGAGTGCCACAAGGAGCAGTGCTTTCACCAACTCTCTACAACATCTTCACGTATGATGTTGTAAGAGAGACAACCAACAACATCGGTCTTTTCGCAGATGATACAGCACTGTATCATTCTGCAGAGAACTCGGCCGATATTGTGACACATCTACAGCACACAGGAAGAAAAGTTCAACAATACATGAACAAATGGAAGATCAACCTCAACAAACAGAAGACTCAAGCCTTATTCATCACAAACAGGCACTCCAGGCAACTACCAGGAAATAACATCAAATTTCTCAACGAAAACATCAAATGGGAAACAGAAGCTAAATATCTGGGAATGGTGATCGACAAGAGAGTGACATTAAAGCCGCATGTGGAGTATGTGACCAATAGGGCTCACACCGCATTAAGACAGCTTTATCCGCTCATCAGCAGGAACTCACAACTCGACGTACGAAACAAACTTCTCATCTACAAGCTAGCCATCAGACCAATATTCACATATGGTTGTCCAGCGTTTGGAAGCATGGCAAAAACCCATCTTCAAAAACTTCAAGTACTGCAAAACAAATTCTTGAGAATTGTTCTCAATAAAACAAGATATGAAAGGATCACCGATCTTCATACAGAAGCGAAAATACCGTCCATCGAAGACTACGTCGGAAAGTTGCAAGCGAACTTCAACAGTCGTCTTGCATCTCAAAACACCGAATAAATCAAAAGAAATACAAAAGAAAGTAAAATCCGTAAATGAAATCAAAATTAAGAGACAAAAGGCAAATTGAATGCCTGAAACCTTAAAACAAAAAGCAACAAAATGTATAGAAACTTTGTACATACTTAAATTTAAATGTAAATAAATAAAAAGTTTAAAAAAAAAAAAAAAAAAAAAAATATTAAGGGTGCGGTACTGATGAAATGATCAAAAATGATCAGTTCCACACCCTTGTAATTTATGGAAAAATTAAAGACATTTTTTGCAGGATATCCTGGGGTATCTTGGGGTATCTTGGGGGTGTCCTAAAATATTTTTTAAACAATAATTACAACAAAATATTTTTAATAATTTTTAAAAGTTGTCGGAATTGGAGACTTGATTTGTCCAATTACTACTAGTTTGGTTTGTCTAAACTACTAATTGGTTTCTAAATTTTCTTTTACATGTGAGAGATAAATTCTACATTAAAATTTATATTCAGACCTAAGAGCACTTAAGTGTCATATAAACTCAAATCTATTAAAAATCCTCATAAATGAGCGAATCTAAAATTATAAATCTGCTAATTCATTTTACTCCTACGAGCCCTTTATATGATAGACACCAAAAAGAACAAAACAAACCCAGACAATGCCTCAAGCAACTTTCTCTGCATATCAAAAATTTTACGTCAAGAAAAAAAATTCATTAAAAATAAAAAGTCAACAAAAGCAAGAAGAAAAGTTGCTTGTGGCACGATAATTAGTTTGTGTATGAATATCTGCATCTATATCATAAAATGAGCATAAGTTTCTCGTCATCATCATTATCATCATCATCATATTCTCTTCAATATTTATTTAACTTTTTTCTTCCTCATCCATTTGGGTTTTTCCTCGTCTCATTTTCATTCTCGCATCTTTTGACTTTTTACTTCTATTTTTCATTTGTGAAAATGTCTCATATGAATGAGAAACTCAAGGAACATTAAAATGTATACACAATAATACACATGATATGATATGATTGCCGTGCTCAAAGACTGCAACTGCTGTTATCCCCAAAAACAATCTTTTATTTTTCGTATTGTAAACATTTCTAAGCAACTGACTTTATTTCTGTTTAAATGTTCTTTCTTTAGAATATATTTTTTTCTTCTCACTCTCTCATACTTTCGAAATGGAAATGGAAGTAAGAAGAGGAATCTATAGCAATGTAGACACACATTCGTATTATTTACAGAAATGAAAAAATTGTAAAAAAAATCAACAACAGTCGAGTCAACTAGAGTCGTGTCTTTTCATCTACTTTTTTTTTTGATTTGAAATTAAATGAATATGGAGCAGTGGATGTAGAGTGAGGTGAACAAATGAAGACTGAAAGTTAGAAATTAAATTAGGTTTTATATGAGGAGTTGAAAAACTAAAGCGCATTTTTTTAGATTTCTGGAATTTTTGTTCGGAATCGTCACAAAAAGGTTCTTACTGTTGCAAACTGAATAAAGAATTTTCCGACCAAAATTTGTCAAAAAGCTTTTCAATTTTGAGATCTGCTCTTGATGCTAGACAAAATGTTTACTTATGAATCAATATACCGATCTCAAATCATGCTAGCAAATACTTTAAGTGAACTCAGAGCTCGAAGTCGATGAAATTTTGTATGGAGTCGTCAAACAAAGTCGATGAAAATCTCAAGTCAACTTCGAGCTCTGAGTAAACGAAATAAAAGCAAAGAGTTTTCGAAGTAAGTTTTTCTTTACGTTATTAAAACACAAGTCGGATGTTCTCGAGGAAAAGAATCTTATGACAATCAGCTTCCACGTTCTTTACTCCTTCCGTAAGTTAAAAAGTCATAGTATGACATTATTTTTGTTTGGATGGTATCATATATGCAGTTTTAAAATAAGGAATCTTGAAGGTCGTAAATAAATAACGCTCATTAAAATATTCGCAATACTATGAGAAACATAAAAGGATGCTTTAAACATTTAAAACTTATATCTAGTGCATTATTATTAAAACAATCTCTTTCCAATTATTTTTTCCCAGATAGCTTATCAATACTACCGGATAAAGAATGAAATCAAAAACATATTAGACCTATTACGTCTAATGAATCAGCTGTGATAAGACCACTTCAAATTTTACTTTTTCATTCATTCAGTCATTAATTTAATTTTGAACAATGAAGTACTTATTCTGCCTTATAATTGCTCTTTCATTCGGTTTATACCAAGCATTTTGGACTGAGTGTCCTGGATCAGGCGTTATTGGACCAGATTCAATTACGTCACCCAATTGCACTATTGACAGATGCAGGGTGACTCGAGGACAACTATTGAGTGCAGATATCCTTGTTACATGGTCTGGAAGTCACAGTGAGTTACGCACTAGAATCACTGCATTTTTGTTGGGCATCGGTAAGACAAATGATTAAATGTTAGAAACTAAGTGCAATTTATGAATAGCGACATGATCCATAATTAGATTTTTGGGCAAAAAGCAGGACATATCTCGATTTGAGCTCTGACAGACCAAATTTTCAAGCATTTTTCAAGAAAAATGGACAGCTTATCCAGAAATTAGATTTTTCTTTTTGGCCTTGAAAGAGTTTTTTTAATAAACTTTAACGCATTTTAATTATTTGCAGGCATTAATCTTCCTATTGATTATCCGTTTGATAATGTGTAAGTATTGCTGAAATTTCCACATCACAACAGTTTTTTGAATTTAAATATTATATTGCTTATAGATGCAACGTTCTCATGCTCCCCGATGGTTCTTCTTTAAGCTGCCCAACAGTTCCAAATGTTCAAAATAGAATACCACTTGAAATGCTGATATCTTCAGCATATCCAGCAATGAATAATGCTCGAGTTCAAGGTGAGAATGTTAATAAATGGAATATTATACAGAAATGAAGCTATGGCAGAAATGTAGCTATTACTTTATAAACTTATTTGTACTGCTTCAAGAACTTTAAGATTTTTAATCAATTTTACTAAGTTTTTGATTAAATCCTTTTTTGTAGTTGACTTCTTTGATGGATCAGAAAGAGTAGCCTGTGGACTACTTACTGCTGTTGATATTTTGTAAAGTTTGAAATTTGTTGAATTTTGATGAGAATTGAATTTTTAATAAAATTATATTAATTGTTTAAAGCATAATTGAATATTTCAATCAATAAAATATTTTATAAGTGTGTTGTTGACTTCGCCATTTATTTTTAATGTGCCTCGAGTCAAAGCAGTTTGAGAAACACTGATCTTACTAAAGTTATATCAATTTTTTAAGATAATACTTGATAATTTAAAAGAATTATATGAAGGTTTTGCCAAAACAAGTAACCAAGATTTGATAAGACTGAAGTATTTCCAATACAAAAATCAGTCAGAAACTTTCAATTCAACGATGAAGTTCGTATTTTTATTTACCTTTGTTTAAGTTTTTGGAGTAAGTCAAGCATTTTGGACAGACTGTCCAAATGTTCCAGGATTTGATTTATTTGAATCACCACAATGTTCAGGCGATCGATGTCGAGCCACGCGTGGTGATATTTTTAATGGAAAGTTTTTATTTCATACTGCTGGAGTGTATAATGAGCTTGGTGTTAGGGCTACGGCATTTATCTTTGGAATTGGTAAGTTTGTTTTATTATTATGCTATGATGTTTATTTAGCTTGCCAATTTAGGAGTAAATCTGCCTTTGACTCCACCCCACGATGATTTGTAAGTTTTTGAAATTTTAATGAGAAAACGAAAAAAATTTAAAATGGCAACTTACGCAAACTTAGTTGCAACTTTATGCAGTTCCCAAATGGAACATTGACAAGCTGTCCAACGATTCCGAATCAGCAATATCTCGTTGAATTTGTAATGGAAATACCACAAATATTCCCTACGATGAGAAACACAAGAGTACAAGGTTAACCTTTTGAAATTATTTGTAATTCTTATTACTAATTTCAATTTTAATTTCAGGTGATTTATTCAATGGAAATGACAGGGTTTTATGTATACAAATTCCATCTGTTGATCTGTTGTAGCTAAATTTGAATTGTTTCTTGATGGATTTCGTTCATGACGAATAAAAATAAAAATATCTTTATGGAATCTTAACATGTTCCTTTCAATTTTTAATCAAGGTCGCGTTATTAATAACTTTTTCATACATTTTGCTGATAAGAGCCATAAATTGTGTAGATGATGGAAGAACAAAATCTTCCACTTATCGGTAAACAGTTGTTGTAAGAGTGCAACCCTTTAATTTGACTATATATCAAATAATACAATTCCATAATAACTTATCATAATACGTCATATTCTTGATCTAAAAATCCTAAAACATCACTTAAATATTTCATCTACCTTCATAAACTAAAGAGATCAAAACAACATATAAAAGATGAGATTGAAATAAATTAATATTGAAAAACTTCTGAGACTTTTCAATTATTCCCTTCAGATTCTTGTCTCACTTTTTCATAATTTTTCAGCATCTCATTTATTTATAGTTTTCATCACGTCTCTCCCTACTTTTTGATTCATGTCTATTTTTTACATTATAAACTAATGAAATGAGTTCAAGCGAGAGAAACAACTGTCAACTCGAGTCGACTCGAACCAAATCGATTTCGAGCTCTGGTAAAGTCACTCTGGTATCTTAGAGGACGGTCTTCTATTTTTTAATTTTTCAAAAATAAAATAGTTTTGATTTGTTTTAATTCGCCCAGAAAAAGAATAAAATTGATAGATACGTGAGATCTACTTTCAGGTCCTTTATTTTTGTATTTCAACAAATGAAGCAGCTTTTTGGAGAAATTGACGATAAAAAGTTTGATCAGTTTTGCGACCAAAAATATTTTAAAAGTAAATAATCCTTTCATAATAATCAGTACATATGTAAGGTTTTATGCGAATCATTTGTTTGGACTACTTATTGCTGTGAAAGTTTAAAATTTATTGACAAAATTGATGAGAATTGTAACTTAAATTTTTAATTAAATTATATTAATTGTTCTAAACATAATTGGATATTTGGATCAAAAAAAAAATATAATATTTGTTAATGACCTTTCCAATTGTTATTTGTGTGCCCCGAATCAAGTATATAAATCAATTTTTAAGATAATACCTGATAAAACAAAAGAATTATATGAAGGTTTTGCTAAAAAAAGTAACCAAGATATGATAAGACTGGAGAATTTCCAATACACAAATCAGTCAGAAACTTTCAATTCAACGATGAAGTTCGTATTTCTCCTAACCTTTGTTTTTGGAGCAAGTCAAGCATTTTGGACAGATTGTCCAGGTGTTCCAGGATTAGATTTATTTGAATCACCACAATGTTCAGGCGATCGATGTCGAGCAACGCGTGGTGAAATTTTTTATGGAAAATTTTGGTTTCATACTGCTGGAGCGTATAATGAGCTTCGTAGTAGGGCTACGGCATTTATTTTTGGAATTGGTAAGTTTGCTTTATTATTAAGCTGCATAATGTTTATTAAGCTGCATAATGTTTATTATGCTTGCCAATTTAGGAGTAAATCTGCCTATGACTCCACCCCACGATGATTTGTAAGTTTTGAAAATTTCAATTAGAAAATAAAATGAAATGTCAATTTACGCAAACTTAGGTGCAATTTAATTCAGTTCCCAAATGGAACATTGACAAGCTGTCCAACGATTCCGAATCAGCAATATTTAGTTGAATTTATAATGGAAATACCACAAATATTCCCTACGATGAGAAACACAAGAGTACAAGGTTAACCTTTTGAAATTATTTGTAATTCTTATTACTAATTTCAATTTTAATTTCAGGTGATTTATTCAATGGAAATGACAGAGTTATATGTTTACAAATTCTAGCAGATCTCTTGTAGCTATGACTTGCAAGATAAAATTTGAATTGTTTCTTGTTGGATTTCTTTCATGACGATTCTAAATTGTAAATAAATATATCTTTATGGAAGCTTAACTTGACATTTTCAATTTTTAATCAAGGTCGCATTATTAACAACTTTTTAATACATTCCTTTGCTGATAAGCTTCATAAATTGTGTAGATGATGCAAGAACAAAATCTTCCACTTATCGGGTAGCAGTTGTTTTACTCCTAATGTCCTTTAATTCGACTTAATATCAAATAGTACATTTCTATCATAACTTATCATAATACGTCATATTCTTGATTTAAAAATCCTAAAACATCACTTTTATATTTCATCTACCTTTATAAACATTAAATAAATCAAAACAACATAAAATATGAGATAGAAATAAATTAATAATGAAGAACTGAGTCTTTTCATTTATTCCCTTTAGATTCTCGTCTCTCTTTTTCACAATTTTTCAACATCTTTTTATTTATAGTTTTCATCACGTCTCTCCCTACTTTTTGATTCATGTCTATTTTTTACATTTCATAAACTAATGAAATGAGTTCAAGCGAGAGAAAAGTAAACCTTACCTTTAAATGAGTAGATAGCATATTGAAGAGAATTTTTTTAAGATTCGATATTTTAATCAGTAATTTAACTCGAATTCCATTTAAAGTAACTTTAACAGTTAAGATTTCTGGAAGGGGGTCCTAGATCACAACTTGAAATTGAAATTTCTATTGAAAATTCCCGAAAAGCACAAGTTGGATAATCGAGACGAAATCCTAGGATCGCGCAAGGTTGACTTGAAGGCTCCGAAGTCAGCGTGATATCCTTCTGGCTTATGATTTCGTCTCGATTATCCAACTTGTGGTGTTCGGGATTGTGACATTGCCTTCAAACAGACAAAATTACCTTTTAAAAAGCTTTTAGCTATGGAAAGAGCTTAAGATCACATTTTATAGAGTCAATAATCTTCAATCTTAGTGCATTTTATCACATCATTCAAAATGATAATATGCTTGTCATCATGAAATGCACTTTAGCGCTTAGCCTGACACTTTTCAGATGCTTCTGACTTTACATCATCTCTTACAGTCTTGTTATACATCAACAAATGAAGTAGCTTTTTGTATACATTGAAGATAAAAAGGTTTGATCAGTTTTGCGTCAACAAATTTTTTACAAAGTTATAATCCTTTAAAAAATAATCAACGCTTCACGTGTGTAAGAATTGATATTGTATCTTGTAAACTTAAATTTATGTGCATTGCAAAGATAAACAAAATTATCGACTTTAGTTTCCAAATAACAACCAAGCAATGAAGTTCATTTTTGTATTAACAATTGTTATTCTTTTTGGATACAGTCATGCATTTTGGTCAGCATGTCCTGGAACGACTCTTCCATCATTAGACTCTATGGAGTCACCTAGCTGCACAGACAGATGTCGTGCAGTACGTGGTGAAGTATTTTATGGAACTCTTCGAATGACTTTTCAAGAAGCTCATCAAGAGCTTCGATCAAGAGTGACTGCCTTCATTTTTGGAATAGGTGCTGATTTATTAAAACCTGTTATTTAATTTTCTCTTAAATATTTTGTGTAAAAACTTTTCAGGAGTTAATATTCCAGTCGATCCACCTTTTGATAACCAGTAAGTTTTAAATTTGTATTCTTCGAACCTTAAAGTAATTTTTAAAACTTTTAACTTAGGTGTAATTTGATTCTTTTTACAAATGGTACACAAGCAGGGTGTCCGACGATTCCAAATACTCAATATATGCTTGTAATAGAAATGCTAATTTCAACTCTTTATCCATCATTCAGTAATACAAGAGTTCAAGGTAATTTTCAAAAATTTAAATGAATAGCGTAGATTTAAGTTAATTGTATTTATAGTTGACTATTTTGATGGGAATGAAAGAGTATTTTGCTACCAGTTTATAGCTGATCTTATATAGATTTTAAGTGTTTTGTAAAATTCAAGGTAATTTAATAAATTTTAAAAACTACCCTAGCCGAAAAAAACTGTTTTTTATTAAATAAAAAAGATGCTTGAACATTTGTTTTCTTGCTCCCCCGGTCGCATAGTTAAAATAAAAATAAATTAAAAAGGCAAAGGAGTAAAAAATTTTGAATTTTGACTTTCTTAAAAACAATTTTTCGAGAGGAGACCTTGGACCTTTGATTGATACTTTTTAACTCCTCACAATTCTTTAGAATCCGAGCTAGCTCCGTCACTATAGAATTTCTCAATTTTTTGCTAAACAGACTTTTCCTCTTAACTCACCGTCATATGTTATGATTACACCAAAGTTTTGATGATGATGATGAGATAAAATCATCGTCAGTTAAGTGACTTTATATCCACAAAAAACAACATAAACTAAAGTGATTCATCAGATGGTTGTCTTCATTCATGTCGTTATTTTAGGATTTTTATGAACTCTCTGAGAATAGCACCGCAGTGATACGTAAAAAAAAGTTGACATTTAAGTCAATTTATATTTTTAAAAGTAAATGTTTCAATCTCTTTCTAATTAAATTATTTGTTTTGTGTTTTTAAATTTGTTACTCTGACAGGGGTGTCTGGAAGGGGGGGGGGGGGGGGCTTTTCAGACAAAAGCTTTTCAAAATAAATATAATTTTCCAACCAACAAAGTGAGTTTTATTCATAAAAAAATCTTAGCTACGCCCCTGTATATCGTCCCCTCTATGATCATTTGAAGGTAAAAATAAATCGAAAAGAAGTAAATGAACAGCATCACATGTGAAAAAGAAAACTTTTTCTTCTATTTTCTCTCTTCTCACTTTAATTAATTTCAAAATCAACATAAATTTAAAAAGTACACACAAGTTGGTCGGAGTAACTCATCTTCTATGCTGAAATATTGCCTGGGAAAAATCCAATATTTATATGAGAGTAAATCATATATGCTTGAAAAAAAATATATATGAAGTTTAAGAATTTTTCAGATTTATGTAGCTTAATTTTTTGCGATAAAATATAAACAGCAGTGATGAAAAAAGTGGAAGGAAAGAGTTTTTCATCGCCAAAAAAAAAGTTCGTTGAACAATTTCTCATCCGATATATTAAAAGGCTTTTTTGCAGCTATAACACTTGATTAAAAAAAGTTCTTATAACAGATTGTGTCGCGTAAAAAAATGGGCCATTAAGAAAATTTATATGCTGCTTTTGCAATTCTTTTCGCGACTCACTTTCAATGATTTATTGTCATACGATGAACATAAGTTGGATGTAATACTCCTTTACAGTCATTGTGTATATGTTGAGCATATACAAAAATGTGTGAATGCAGAATAAAATTTTCTTGTTTTTTCTTTTTTTCATAACACGATACGCGACAAAATTTTGATTTTTTTTACTAGCAAATTGGATTTTTAAGCATGACAAATTTTTGAAAAATTAATTTATGGTGAATTTTAAATAATTTTTTCAAATACTTTTAAGTTAATGAAAAAATCTTCAATCTCAACCAAATTGAATTTCTCGTTCAAAATTCTGATTACAAATTTAATTCCCTTCGCAGACTGCCTTACAAGTAGTAACAACAACAATGAAACGTGAAACATCACGGCGGATTAAAATGAGATTTTCTGCATTTCCTGTGACATAAGCCAAAAAATTGTTATTTTTTCCTCTCCTTTATTTATGAATCCTGAAAATTGTATATACACAAGATTATGATGATGATGAAGTTAAATTTAGATTTTCATCATTTTGCCAAGTGCAATAACGCGATGCATACGTGTCAACTGTGAAACTCATCAAAAGAAAATTGTTGTGAGAATTAAGTGGATTTTTTTTTGTATTCTCGTCGTTCACGTTTGTTTATGGTAAACAAAGAGTTTCATTTTATGGGAGATTTTTTGTCTGTTTTATGATGAAACTCAAATTTGTTGCATAAAATTTTTCTGCTTGATAAGTTTGATTGATGCTGAGTTTTATGATGAATTTTTTGAGGTTCTAAACATTTTTAATGAAAAGCTTCGTTTTTAAAAAATTGGAGGTCTTGGGATCTTGTCTTGGCCAAAGTCTTGTCAGGTGTAATTTGTGGCTAAAATTTAAACAAATCATTCTGATTTGATACAAACACACCCCCCCCACCCCTCCCCATTAAAATAATAAAAAAACATCAAATGTATATCGAAATGTGAACAAGAGTTAGATGATACTGATTAACAACAAGCAGGTCCAACTTTTCAGTTCTTATCAACTTTTGCTAATTTTCTTCAAAAAAACGCAAATTCTGTGCAATAAGCAATAATACAATTTTTTTTATCACCTTATTAGCTGATTGTCGAGTTCAAAATCATTAAAAATTTTACAAATAAAACTGTTGTAACAGCTTAGACGTCTATAAAGCATAATCCCATTTTCTCATTTAGTTCACTTAAACCTGCAATCCGTCTTTACCCGAACTTTAACCTTTAAAAAAATTATTTTTTTCATCAGAAAAATTTCTTCAAACATTTTTCAACCCTTATCACCTCAAGAGTATCCAATATTAATCATTTACAAGCGATACGGAAGTACTGAAAGGATTAAATTTAATTAGATTGCATTTAAGTCTGAAAATCTTTAGCACTTGAAGTCATCAGACAATATTTTAATTAAAATTAAGGGATTAAGTTTGATCCGACAAGATTAGTGTCTGTTTACAAAATGAAATCATCTTTCGTGCTTAACACTGACTCGGTGACGTTATGTTGTGTAGAAAGCATGAATTTAAAACTTTGTATGAGTTAAAAATACTCAATGGACTTTTTGTAGATGAAATAAAATGTTTATTGGTTAAAATGAACTTTTAAGGTGTTTTATGACATAAAACAAGTTTTTATATTTTTCAAGGTGATTTTTTAAGTCTTAACGATTCAATGAACTTTGATAAATCATTTCACTGCCAACTGCTATGATTTCATGAGCTTTAGATAAAAACCAAAATCAAGCAACTGTCAAATAATTTAAAACAAAACCGAGCTTAACAGGATCAGGGCTGATCAGAGCTCGAAGTTGAAAGGGTTCAACTTTTCTTTGAGTCGAGTTCATTTTTTTGTTTCGACTCGAGTTGACTTCATTTTTTTGAAGTCAACATTTACTTCATTTAATCGATTTGGAGAAACGAAGTTGATTCTATAAAATTTATCGACTTCGAGCTATGGGCTGATTAATTGATAAGAAATCTACTTTTAGTTGTTTTGCTCAAAATAATCTAAAATTAAATCGTTGTGGTTTTTTGTCTGTAAGATTAATATTTTCTTGTCGCTGTCTAGTTCAATAACCATGGAAATGTTTGATGATAAAGTGTCACCGTTGTGAAAACGTCAGATTTAAATTTAAATATTACGCGTCAAAAGTAAACATCCCCTAAACAGTGATGACCTATCACCAAGCGTGCTGTGGCCCAAAAAAGGTTGAACACAACTGCACTAATGTCTCAATCTACGAATTTTTTTAAATTTTAGAATCCAGCGTGCAAATTTACGTATATCCAATTTTAAGAACTGACATCAAAAATACGTCACTTGATGTTATAGCGGAACAAATTCTCAGAAGTCTGAAACTTAAAAAAACCTCATCGATGAAATTAAATTTTCGACATTTTCATTTTTATATATATTTTCACACGTCATGCGAAACTTTATTAATATTGACACTAAATCGTTTGTTTTATGAAAAACCTCACATTTTGGCATAAAACTCGGAAAAACAAACAGACTATCAGAAATGTACTCAACATAATCGAATATAATGCAAGAAATTCTGCACTTTATGCTCGATACGAAGACATATCACGCGATGCTCATTAATAGAGTTTTGAATATTTCAATTTGCAATTTTGTTTTCAGAATTGCGGTCGATGACGAGCTGCAATACATATTATGAAAGGAACGAAATGTCAGATTGTGGTTTTAATAATTTAAAGAAACAGGAAAATCGATAATTTAAGGAGTGGATAATTTTTTTTTCGTAGGAACTTCAATGGAAAAAAATGTCATTGAACCCTTTCGCATGCGATTTTAATTTTATTTTTGATTGAATTTGTTTTTCAGAATTTTTTTTTATAATTTATCATAAATTTTTCAATCAGATGAAAAGGGAATTTGATATTGTGAGAGAATTGGAAGTGGAAAATGAAATATTTATAGACAGTTTGGAGGGATTTGCATATTTTTGGATGGTGGAATTTGAACATTTTTTGGCAAATTTTCAGTGAATGCACTTAGTGCGCTTGTTTGACATCAATTGTTCCTTATTTTTGTGAAAGGTCAAAAATTTATTTTTTGTGTGAATCTCAAATGGCTTAAAAATCTTAAATTCTAAACTTTAAAAGAATCTAAAGCTTAAATGCATCGATTATTTGAAATCATTAATTTATTCCATCAGAAAATCATCTGTAAATTTCTTACAAGTCTCAATATCTGCCAAAAGAAATCTTACATCCAATCTTATCAAATCGAAAATTGTAATTCATTCTTCATCGCACAACACAACATCAGAAAAAATCCATTTTTCAAGCCAAAAAGTTTCAATTTTATTTCTTCTTATTTAATCAGACCGAGAGCAATCATCATCATCTCTAGACTTCGGAAGTAAATCAGAAATCTTCTCAAAAATTGGAGTCTGAAAAACGTGATCGAATTTTTCATTCGAACGGCAACAATTTCCAAAAATGAATCAAATTTTCTCTTTTCTTGATACTGAAATATATTCCATTTTTTTGCAGTTGAATCTTAAATTGCTGACAAAAAGAAGGAAGACATTTTTTTTTCGTCATGAATTGAAAAATTTTTATGGCACGATTTAAAATTCCTGAGCATAAAAAACAACTATTGAAAGAAATTCAAATTGAGTCCAACAAAAAATTCAATAAATTTACATTCCATTTTATGTTTGCACAGTTTACTGAGCATTTTTTACTTGGTTCCACAATTTCCGGCATGTTTTCATGAATAAGAAAAGACTTTTTTTCTAAATGCACATTTCAAATATCTGTTCAA